ACAGGAGGCTGCATTTTTATCTCAGGCCTAAAAGTGCAGGCTCTAAAGCCATCTTATCTTTGGATGCATTTCAAGGTAAATTGCAGACATCAGTATATTTCCTCCCAAACACTTCCACATGACGTGCATATCATTAACCAGAGCTGAATATTTGTTTACATGTTTTTTCTTTTGAGGTAAAATTTACATAGGTTGAAATGCAGAACGCTTAAGTGTATATCCTCTAAGTTTTGACAAATGCATACACCTGTGTAACCCACACCTGGAGGACTTTTTATTACTTAAGGGTGACCAGAAAAGCCTACAGCACCTGCCTGAGATTTTTCTCAAGAGAGCAGGGAAGAACCCATCAGAGTGTATTTCAAGCAATGGTGGGGAAAGAGGGGGGACAGGGGCGAGAGAGAGAATAAAGCTCTTTTCTGTTTATATTCTACCAGTTCTGCCAGTGCAATGTCATGGTTACCTTGTACAGTGAAATCCTCGGAACCCTGAGTGACACAGAGGAAGTGCTCTGTCAGTGCAGGCTCCTGCTATTATTGCTATTGCCTTTATTGTCCCCATCTGATTGGCAATCCTTAATCCTGTAAGAGAAGAAGAGTGAATGGTAGAATCTGGATACCACACCTGAACCTGAACTCTCTAATACCTTTGAGATTGTAACTGAAAAAAGAGCAAATAATGAATAGTGTATTTGTGAAAGTGACCAGACCCAGGGAGATGGCAGGTTGCCTGTCCAGCAGCTGTTCCCTCCTTTTCCCTTGGTGCCAAAGCCTACCTCCAGCCAGAAAGGCTGAAAATGCCCAATTTTCACTCCCTAGCCTCTCCTATAGCTGGGGACTATGGTCTGAATGTTTGTGTTCCCCAAAATTCATATATTGAAGTCTAACCCTCAAGGTGATGGTATTAAGAGGTGGGGGTCCTTTAGAGGTGATTAGACCATGAGTGCTCTGCCCTCATGAATGGGATTAATTCCTTTGTAAAAGAGGCCCCAGGGAGCTGCCTTCCCTTTTCTCCATGTGAGGATGCAGCAAGAAGGTGCCATCTTTGAGGCAGAGAGAGCAAGTCTTCACTAGACACCTAATGTGCTGGAGTCTTCATCTGGGATTCCCCAGCCTCCAGAATTATGAATAAATTTTGGATTATAAATTACCCAGTCTAAGGTGTTTTGTTATAGAGTTCCAAACAGACTAAGACACTAGGCATGTGAATCAATCCAGGCCAATGAGACATTAGGGAAAGTTGCTGGGGGCTTCTGGGAAAGGTTTTCCTCCTTAATAAAAAGAGATAACATGGAAGAAAATGCCCCTTTCCTTCCTAACTTTGAATGTTATCATGTAAGGATGGCATGCTTGGAGCTATGGCAGCTGTTTTGCCACCATGAGGGTAAAGCTAAGAGAACCAAAGTCAGCCAATGCTCCTAAGTCATGGAGCTGCTGAATTCTGTAGTGCTTACCTCTAGATTTCTTGTTTAGTGAGGTCATAAACCCCTCATTGTGTAAGTTATCTTTAGCTGGATAGTCAGTTCCTTGCAGCCTAAAGCATCCTAACTGATACACATGATTTGTGAGATTTGTTGCTGGAAACACCAGTGCATTTCCTGAAAACAATCTTGTTTGTATCTCAAAGATCAGTCTGTAATTATTATAAAGAAAACTATAGTCCACTGCTTTTGGCATGAGTAAAGCATCAGTTTCCAAACTGTTAAGGTGGCAGAACAGGAGTTATTTTATTTATTTATTTATTTTTCCTTTTTGTCTTTTTTCGTGACCGGCAACGGATCGCAACCCTCAGTGTCACGCCCGTACCGGACCGGGACCGGCAATGGGATCACAACCCAGTGAGCGGCCGGTCTGTATGTGGGATCCAAACCCTTGGCGGGAGCACGGCTGCGCTCCCAAGCGGCGCACTGTAGCAGTGCGCCACCAGGCCGGCCCCGAACAGGAGTTATTTTAAAATGATGATTTTTCAATATTTGCAGGTGTTTCACCATTGTCATAGTGATTGTTAGACTCAATATAGCTGAGGATGGAAACTCATCTTATTTCTAACTTTATTTATTAATGAGTTTGTAGTTGGTGGCTGACATGGAGTTTGCTGTGGGGCTAGAATATGCAAAAAGGTCCTGTGAAATCCTGATATATTTAATTCTAGCCTCCAAACTGGTTACAATTTCTTTGGCAGAAAACAATCTTATTACTACATATGCCCAGTATAAACTCTCAACCATATTACACATGCCAAGAGAAAAATTGTTTTTGTTTCTGTTTTGGTCAGACTGATTGGTAGATTTTGCATAAATGTTCAACATTCGATAGATATTTAAGTGCCTACTATTGGCTGGGGTTTGTGCTGGACACTGGGAATATAAAAATGAATTAGACAAGTTCCACCCCAAAGGAGCTCCCAGATTACAAAGCAGGGCAGAAAGTAACCAGGCAATTATAATGCAAAGGACGAAGGGTTTCCATAGGGCCAAGTAAAAGGACTGTGAGAGTCCAGAGGAGTCCATTCATACATTCTGTTAGGTTGATCTTTCATATTTATTGAGCATCTATGATGTGCCTGAGCACTGTGCTGGGAACAGGGAAAACAGTGGAGGAAAGAAAGATACAGTCCCTGCCCTTGTGTTGCTTTCAGTCTAGTGGGGGAGAAAGACAGGTAAACATAATTACAGTGTGCAATGCTATGAGAGAAGAGCACCCAACCCAAAGTGAGGAGAGGATACCTAAGATGAGAAGGGAAGGATCTGAAGGTGGGGAAGAATGTCCCATAGGGAGAGACAGTGCTGTGCACAGGGGCAAGAGAGACCATGGCGAAGGTCATTTCAAATGGTCATAGCAAAAAGTTTGGGCAGAGTGGAAGTTACAGGGGGGTAGGAGGAGAAAGGGTTGGCAAAAGATAACCAGCCACCAGATCCTGACAAATCTTGTGAGCTATGTTAAAGAGTTTTTCTGAGGTTAATGGGTAAAGCGTAGATTTAAGAAAGGAATGAAGTGGTCAGATCTTCACTTTAGAAAATCACTGTTGCCAGTGGAAAGTGGATTGGAGGGTAAAATGCCAAATGAAATGAAATTGGAGGGCAGGAAACCAGTGAGGAGGCTGTTGAAGTTCTCTTGGCAAGATCTGGCAATGGCCTGGCCTCAGAATGGTGATGGAGGAACGTGGACTGACTGCAGAGCTGCTTGGGAGGCACAGTCAACAGGAGGTGGGGAATGTTGGAAACAAAGGGCAGGGTGGAGAGGAGGCTTGTCTCTGACTTCAGCAAGTAAGAAGGTAGTAGAGCACAAGAAGTCTGGGATTGGGGGTAGTTAATCAGTTCCTTTTGGTGTATGTTGAACTTGAGGACCTGTGGGACAGTCATATGGAGAAGTCCTGGAGGCAACCCAATGTGGAACTGAGGGGAGAGAGCTCAGCTAGAGTCTGCAATTTGCATGGCATCAGAATAGAGGGGGGCTCCGAGCCCATGGGCATGGGTGAGATCACTCTACTGATGAGTGTTGAGAGCCAGATGACAGCAGGGACAGGGACCAGGCCCTGAGGAGGACCAGCATTGAGGCCATGTTTCAGAGGGGCGGGGGCCCGCAGACGACACTGAGACAGGCCAGACAGGCAGGAGGAGAACCAGGAGAGGGCGGTGTCCAGAACTCAAGGAAGAGTTAACATTTGTCTAGTATTTGTTTTTAACTTATTTCGTAGGTATGGAGGGTTTACAGACAGTTTATAAAAGGAAAGCATGAATTTGAAACACTTCCATCCTTTGTCTTACTTTTGTTTTTATATTTTGGGAAAATGGTCCTCTCTTTGCCTCATGGAATACCAGAGCTCCATAAAGTCATAGCTGGAGAACCACGGGCCTAAAATAAGAAGTTATAACAGCAAGCTGGAAGTCTTCATGGAGTCTAGAAGGAAGCACGTGTCCCCACACCTCCAGCACTGGTTGAGGGGAACAGCTTCAGTGTGGTCGTAACTGTCAAAGCAAACACTTCAATCTGTCAGGAAATGTAAATGAGGTTTTTATTTAGATTTGCAAACCAGGGAGACCAGCTCTCAGCGTGAGATGTGAGTCCGCCCAGTAAGTGGAAAAAGCAAAGAGGCTTTATAGTGTAAGTTCAGGAAAGTCTACGCAGTAAACAATTTTCAAACACTGTATAAAGACGGAATAGACAGCCGTCTATGACATATTGAACAATGGCTTCTCAGGCCTTTTACAATATTTACGGCTACTCTAATCTAGACTACTCAACTCATAAGTAATTCCCATTTGCTTAAGATACAACAGGTTAAAAACAATCCAAGTTTCTCAGGATTGCTGTAAACAGTGTCATCTACGTTTATCTAAGTATTGGGTATCTTGGTGATAACAAATTCCCTGTAAAGAGTTTGTTTGTCAAGCAATAAATTCTAATGTAAGGTTGGCTTCTTGGGCTAGAAGAGAATAAGTCTATTAAGTTAAAAAAAAATAGAGTCGCTTTGATTCTTTTTCTTTTATTCTCCTTCCCTGGCCTTTTTTCTTCTTCCTCAGAATGCACTGTGCCATGTCTTGAGGAGCAGTGCAGGGCTGGGTGGGGTGCAAGGGGACAAGACCGCGTGCTTGGTGAGGGCCTTGCTGGGGATGGGGACCTGGGAGGCTCTGCACAACCAAACACCAAGATTTAAGATCACTTAGAACCATACAAATCAAGAGAGTGAAAGGTGAAAGAGTGCTGAGAAATGAGGAGTTTCTCACAGCTGGGGGCCATGAAGCCCGGTGGTCCTCCCCGTGGAACCTTTCTCCACGGAAGCACCAGGGCTGACCCCTGCTAGTCCTCAGGGCCAGGCATCCCTGTCGTTCTTCGGGCTGCAGTCATCTGACCACTGAGGTGTCTTCATCTAAAGTTCAGGAAGTGCTTATCTTACAGAGCTTCATAAAATCACTACTGGCTTTCAGGACCTGGATACCTATTGAAGTTCAGCCACTCCTGATTGTTTTAAAATAAGATGTCTGAACACTCTTCAGCTTGTCAAAAAGACGAAATGGTGGTTTTAAAATGATGGTTTTCAGTATATGCAGGGATTTCAACATCATCATAGTCATTTTCAGCCTCAATGTAGCCTGGAATGGAAACGGTCTTCTTATTTCTAGGTTTATTTACCAATGAGTATGTAGCCAGTGGTTGACTTGGGGTTTCCTGTGGGCCTAGAATACACAAAAAGGCCCTTAGATGCAAAGTTATTGTGTGTTTCTCTCTCTCTCTCTCTCTCTCTCTCTCTCTCTCTCTCTCTCTCTCTCTCTATATATATATATATATATATATTTTTTTTTTT